TTTTGTGTTTCCCGCCGCACTGAGACTGACGTCTTTTCATTGGTCAGCCGGATAGCGCGGTCGATGCTAATAATAAAAACACACACACACACACCAAAAAGCGGCGAAATAAAATGCGGCGACATACAAAATGCCACGTGCGGAAAGCATGGGTACTTGCCCGCCGTCAAATTGTGCCTACAACAGCAGTAGTACACCCGACCCACAATCGCTTGGCAATCATGTCGGAGGTATCTAGGACGGGCGGTGCCGCGATCTCAGGGGCTAGTGGTGGCCGTCCTTCCTCTGCGGACGCGGTAGCTGCCCCTGCGGACCCGTTGGCAGCAGGAGAGGCCATCGACGAGATGCTTGCGGCAAACGACCCCACACCATCACACCACAAAAAGCGCAAATACCCCGAGCCTGACTTCGTCAAAGAGGACCGGAGGCAAGAAAGGGAGCTACCCCATGAGATTCAAACTGAAAGCAGCAGCATTCACGCGAGTCCTTTGCGAGGATGGCCAACCAGTGGGAAATTCCGGAGCGGCGAAAGTTGCCGGGGTGGATCGCAGGCGCATCATCACCTGGGTCGGCGAGGAGGCAACAATGAAGAAGCTGGTGAAGGAGAAGCCTAAACAATCGAAGGCAAAATCGATTCACGCTGGTATGGCACCTANCATTCACGCGAGTCCTTTGCGAGGATGGTCAACCAGTGGGAAATTCCGGAGCGGCGAAAGTTCTCGGGGTGGATCGCAGGCGCATCATCACCTGGGTCGGCGAGGAGGCAACAATGAAGAAGCTGGTGAAGGAGAAGCCTAAACAATCGAAGGCAAAATCGATTCACGCTGGTATGGCACCTACGACAGCCGAGGTCGAACAAGACCTGGAGTACTACATGCTAAAAAGGTTCTCGGGGTGGATCGCAGGCGCATCATCACCTGGGTCGGTGAGGAGGCAACAATGAAGAAGCTGGTGAAGGAGAAGCCTAAACTATCGAGCATGTAGTCTTCCAGGTCTTGTTCGACCTCGGCTGTCGTAGGTGCCATATCAGCGTGAATCGCTTTTGCCTTCGATTGTTTAGATTTCTCCTTCACCAGCTTCTTCATTGTTGCCTCCTCGCCGACCCAGGTGATGATGCGCCTGCGATCCACCCCGAGAACTTTCGCCGCTCCGGAATTTCCCACTGGTTGACCATCCTCGCAAAGGACTCGCGTGAATGCTGCTGCTTTCAGTTTGAATCTCATGGGGTAGCTCCCTTTCTTGCCTCCGGTCCTCTCGTTGACGAAGTCAGACTCGGGGTATTTGCGCTTTTTGTGGTGTGATAGTGTGGGGTCGTTTGCATTTCCTTCACACTATCGACGATGACCTACCTACCCATACAGCAGAGCCACATGCCAGCACTGGCATGTTTGCAGGGGTGAAAGTTGCCATTGGCCAGCAATGGTTGCAGAGGTGAAAGTTGCCATGGCCAGCACTGGCAAAATTGCACGGGTGAAGTTGCCTCGAAATCGCTCGCACTCTACTGTAGGTTGCGAGTCATCGCACCCCTGTGCGGTAACGTCGGACCCTGTGCAGAAATCGAATTAATTAATTATGCCATTTAATGTTCATCGCACCCCTGTGCGACCCCTGTGCGACGACTCCGGGCCGTGCGGAAACCCCGGACCGTGCGCTAACCCGCATCCTTAAGGTATGCGTCGAAAGGACCCACGGGACTACGGTACTGCTGCTGTCGGGCTTATCTTTTTCTCAGTATCGCACTTACCGGTGATATCGCACCCCCCGTGCGATGAAAAACCAAGAACCAAATCATTTTGTGATCGATCGCACCCCCGTGCGTTCTCTCCCATCCTTACGGTAGATATCGCGGCACATGAAGCAGCAGTAGTGGATGTGATTTTCGTGAACCACAGGGCTAGTGGAGAGTTTCGGCGAGCGCGATTTTTGTGGCCCACATATTTGCCACAACGTTGACGCTGTAATAAATAGCGCGTGAGTGTTTTCACGTTTGGCACTGTGATGTGTAGACGACGAGCTCTGAGCCACGAAACCAAGGAACAAGGAACTGGGAGCGATGGACGGCATGAGGAACACCCACGCGTCGTCGCTGTGGTACCCCTAGGCGCCGTGACCCTCGTGATATTTCCAAGGGTTTACTCGGTATTTTTTTCGCCGTTAAACTACCGCCGTGGTGGACGGTCCCGGTAATCTGCCGTTATACCGCCGTTTTTTTGGTTTTGCCGCCTGCGCCAAAAGCGTTGCCGCCGAAAAACGCGTTACCGCCTACGGCCACAAAGATTGCCGTATGACGCTACCGCCGAAAAAATTACCGCCAGAGTTCGGTTTGACCGCCTCCGCCAAAGTCGTTACCGCCAGAAACGCATTACCGCCTACCGCCCAAACAATTACCGCCATATGGCATTAGATGTAGGTTCGTTACCGCCGAACGATTGGCTGAGTGAGTATAGGTCTAGCTAGCCTCGACTGCTGAACAACCAGTGTGAATCAGGAGTTCGAGTCCACGTGTGAACGTACTTTTTCCGTCCATTAATTTTTCATGCATGTTCATGCATTGTCTGTTCTTCGGTTCGCGGGTTCGTTTTCGGGAGAACCATTGAGTGAGGCGAGGAGGCGCGCGCATGATTTTTACGTCGAATTAAGTCTAAAATGTGAAAGCCACTGGTGACAACGACAAAAAAAAAATACTTCCTCTGTATCATAAGTTAGGGTACCTTAATGCAATAGATTGTCTGGGTGCAACCGTGTTAGTGATGGTAGCATAGTCGGGTTTGTGAGAAATATATAAACATAGAAGAAGCGATAGAAAAACCAACATCTATTTCTGTACCTAATATTGGTCAAAATATACCCTATTTTGGCCTGTTTTGGGAGTATTTTTGAGAAAATATTTTGGGATTTTTTTTGAGAAAAAAATTCTCAAAACNATGGCGGTAGAAATTGCGATGGGCATTCAGCCGGGGTTGTCAAGGATTCCCAAGGGCGTGCTTGACCCGATCTGCGAACGCTACGGTGTTGGAAAGAAGTACCCGTCCAAGTTGTGGAAACGGGTCAAAACCCAGATCGACAACACCCAGGAGCTGGACCTTTCAAACGAGAAGCGAAGTGGGCGGCCGTCGCTTCTCACCCCTTCAAAGATTGCGGCGCTCGAGAAAGTCAACAGCCAACAAGAATAGTCGACTTTTTTTTTTTTCCCCGCCACCAACCAACCCTTCTTTTTTTCCCGCAAGTGTCTTGATTTTAGTGTTCCCCCCAAGTGTCTTGTTTTTAGTGTGTGACCCGCAAGTGTCTTGGTTTTAGTGTGGTTCACTACTATACTGCTTTTAGTATAGGGGGCGCGACATGGATCGTTGGGTAGAGGGGGGGGTTGGATGAGGGCCCTACTGTTGCTTGCTTTGCCCCGCAAGTGTCGTGGTTTTAGTGTGGTCCCCCCAAGTGTCTTTTGTTCAGTGTGGGGGCCACAATTATGCTGTTTTTAGTATGGGGGACGCGTCGTGGATCGTTGAGTAGAGGGGGGGCTAGGTTTAGGGTCAGGGATAATTCTTGGAATTTTTGCCTTGTTTTTGTCATTGCCCCCCCCCCCCCGCCTGGTCGGAGGGGGCAGAATACATGAAAAGTACGGCGTTTTTCAGGCCGACTGGTTTTTTCTCGGGCGCTCATGCGCGCGGGGTGGCGCATGCATAAAAAAAACATGATGTTTCTTGCTAAAAAAACTCCGAGGATTTCAACAAAAAGATCGAAAAACAGATCGGACACGGTTAAGGGCCCGTACAAATTTTCGTACCCTAACTTAAGATACAGAGGAAGTAGACGTACATGATGATCACTGTTTTTGCCGTCTGTTCGGGCGCGGACACTTACCACCGCAATTGCCGCCGTGTTTGGTGTCGCTTGAAGTTGTGGCCATAGCCAATGGCAATAATTACCGCCGTGAAATTGCCGCGTTGGTGGGCGGTCCCGGTAATCCGCCGTTGTTCCCCCCATTTTTTTTGTTTTACCGCCTCCGCCAAACTCGTTACCGCCTTCTGCCAAGACTAGTGCCATCGTTCGGCGTTGCCGCCGAAAAAGTACCGCCTAAAATGGTTTTACCGCCTCCGCCAAAATCATAACCGCCGAAAATCGTATTACCGCCTACCACTGAAACGATTACCGCCGTATGGCACGAAAAATTACCGTCAATATTTGTTTTCACCGCCTCCGCCAAAGTCGTTACCGCCGAGAAACTCATGAAAAACGCATGGCCGCCTATTGTTAAAGCAATTACCGCCAAATGGCATTTCCGCCGAAAACCTGTCCGCCTAAAAAACCGTTACCGAGTATACCCTTGGATATTTCTGCTTCGCCTCCCGAGATGCGGACTAATGCGTATATTGCTACATATTCTGGCAGTATCGCTGCGGTGACGCATGCTTACCCTGGCCCCTCCATCCCACTACTGCATGCTGTACCATCTGATCGTGTCGCCGGCAACAGGGAGGGCGACCGAGGAGGACTTGGCTGTCATGACCTGTAGGCCCTTCAACAGGGACGTCTCACAGGAGGAGTCATTGCCCCTGGGCAGAAGGCTCATGCGCGCGGTACGGTGGTCCGTGCGAGCACAAAGGGTTGTTTGGCGTCCATGATGGTGCTGTTGTCATGTTGCTATTGTTGGCTCTAGCAAGAGATCCCGTGGGTGCAGGCGGCCCGCCCTGGCCATCGTTGTGCGCATGTAAATATACGTAGGCGATTAAGTTCCCTTGAATACCTCGAAGAAACTGCGTGGCTCACGGCTTGACCCCATTGGTACGGCCCCAACCCGTTCTGCGTATAGACATGCACATCGATTGTTTTGTGTCCCATCCCTCGCAATCCCGCTGTAGCCTACCACTCGCCAGCCTTCATTTATCTTCTCCGTCTCCCCCGGCCTGTCTTTTGCTCATGCGAACAGTTGTCCCAGGGGATTAATTCAGCCGCGAGCATTCGCATCCTCAAGAGCCTCTCCGCCGCTTCGAGGTCTTCGTCTGGGGATACCGCTAATCTCACGCCGCGACCCTCACTCAATGCCGTGGGCCCCAACAGCAGGCTCTGGACGCTTTCCGAGGTCGGTGTCGGGTGCGTTCTTCTTTCAGCGTTGCTTTAGCATACATTCGTGTTGCCGCCACAAGCTCCACAGGCCCAGCCAAAGGCTTTATTCGATGGCATTTACCATCTGAGATTTTCATAGGAAAAAGCAGGTACCATGGGCGTGGCCACGGCCAAAGTTATCCGCCAGCCGTCTTGTATCTCCGTGTCACACAAGAATATTTACCAACGGACCTGGGTATTTCCACCCATATTTCCACCCATTCCGTCGGCCTGCACTACCAGGCATCGTCAGTGGGAGAAGAAGCTGGGTGGGAAACGATTGTGGAGCAGGACGGCATCAAACCGGCGATGGGGCTGAAGTATTTCCACTCGGAGAAACACGGTTTGCGACTTTGGGTCCAACCCGACAGCGTGCCGGTGCCGCTCTCACCAGGACGCCAAGAAGCCTCGGGCCCGATCCGGGTGCGCGACCTGGACCAGACCGTGGATTTCGAGGGCGGAAAACTCCTCGGGGTATTGGAGGTTGAATGCCTCCCTTGCGGACGCCGGTTTGACGCGCCGTTGCTGTTGGACTTCCCTGTCGATGGCAGGAACAAGGAAGACCCCATCATCGACGCCCACGGAAGAATTCAATATGAGGTGAGCGCGTAGCCATGCGTAAGGAGGAAGATGTTCCCATCAAGGGAAGGCGCTGTTGGAGATGGGGAGCACCCATGAAAAGTTGCTATCGAGATCGTAGTCGAGGTTGCGCATGGATGCTGGGGTGGCTTTCGTAGGCTCCCCGTCGTGAGATTCCCGGTGTGAGATGCGGAGGATGTCGTACCAAAGGCCGTTTTCAACAACGACGTAATGTGCTTTTTGATGTCCCCCTTGGCCCCCCCGGTGTTTGCCGTCGGGGTTGGGTTTTCGTCGCGTGGCAACGACGTTATAAAACAAGCCGCCCC